ACTCTTTCTCAGTGAGTTAGACAATGTTAAAATAGTCACAATTTAACTGTGTCAGGTCAGCTATGAAACTAAATAGGATAATCAAATTTGTGAAGTGAAAACTTGGGGAAAGCTGCAGGTTTTTGACTGCTGGGGCAGAAAGGAGATGAGAAAACCGCCTCTTGTCATGCTCCCACCTCCCTTGGCTTCCAGTACTGTTATTACAGTGCTGCTACCAAAGAGTGTCCGGTTGTCAGCTTGCTTCTCCCTTCTGTGTCCATATGTGCCTTCTCTGTTCCCAGTGTAAAATAGCAAGGCAGAGGACCAGAGTTGCTTAGTAATTTATTTATTTATTTAACTTTTTTTTGTGTTTTTTTTCATGGGCACCCAACAGAGAAACAGAAGAAGCTTAAGATCTGTCTTGTTACAATCAAAATAGCTCAGTGATGTGGGACATGCACCTGGTTTAAACAAATAAACCTTTAACGGTTGATTTCTCTTAAACAATGATTTCTTGCTATTCTCCTTCACAATTGTTTTTCTGTAGTCTTCCACTGTCATCTAAGTTTTTGGCTAAGTGGCAAGTAGTTCAAAAGTGTAGAACGTTCAGTGCTTGTTGACATTCTACTTCAACAGTTTCTTTCTTTAAGAAAATATAATGTTTTCTTAGTAGGCAAACACATGATTGATGTGATATGGCATAAAAGCATCATCAAGTCAAATTGAATAGGGGAAACAACAGAAAGTTTCTGCACAGGTAAATAAAACCAAGATATGAAGAGACAAAAGTAATCTTTGCTGTTTGTTCGCCTTCATACATTTATGCCACAATAAAATAAATTTAATTCTCCGTCTTGTTTTTGATTCTTCTAAGGTAGTGTTGAAATAAGCTGGCTTGAATTGGCTATTTTCATTTGTTTGTTGGCAAGTTCCTCCAACAATAGTCTTGATTAAAGCCTTTTCTTTGAGAATTGCTAGTTTTCTTTTTCATAACAGAAAACCTAAACCTCTCACAGAGACAAGTAGATAGCGTCACAGATCTTATTTTGCTGTTCCAGGTTGCTCTGAACCCCTGGGGATGAAATCAGGACATATACAGGACTTCCAGATTACTGCCTCCAGTGTTTTCCGAACACTCAACATGGACATGTTCACCTGGGAGCCTAGGAAAGCCCGGCTGGACAAGCAAGGCAAAGTTAATGCCTGGACCTCTGGCCACAATGACCAGTCACAGTGGTTGCAGGTAAAATTTCACACGTTTTCCCAAATGTTTATCTCTTTTGTGTTTCAGGTATGGAGAAAGTTGACTGGTTTAGGATTATACTGATAGCCTCCTGCTTCTGAGAGTAACCGTACTAATTCTACCCCATATAACTGATGAAGCTATGAAAGACCACACAGACCTCCATGTCCTTGGCACTGCTGTTGCAGAAGCCCTGCATCTTCACTACCCAAATCTTGAGAGTTGCCCAGTAGTCATGAATTTTCCTTTATTAATGGACACAAATAATAGTTGCAGACCTGCTTCAGTGGCTTCTCCTCTGTTGCTGAAGGAGATTTTTTTTCTCCCTTTTTGTCCTTCCAAAGCTCCCTATAAAAGTGTATTTATTTCAGCTTTGTGCACACTGGTAGATCTGGCCCATAGAAATTATCTTTGTGTAATTAAGACTGCTCAAAATTACCTTCCAACATCACACTGAAGCTAGCAAGACTCATTCAGCACTTGAACTCATCATAAGGCTGTGCACAGGGGTTGTTGGCAGCCTGGGAGTGATTTATAGAAGTCAGTAGTATGCTAATATGAAAGATTGCAATAAATCACTGGTATGGAAGCCTGTTTGACCAGTCTCTGACACATTTACATTTTTTGAACTGCAGAAAATAGCAGTGGTTTGAGTCAGCTGCCAGTTTGCAGTACACTTCTCCATGGGTAGCCTCAATAGCAGTAGACATGGCTGCTAACCCCCTGCAAACTTTTAACATAAAAGCTATGACCTGTTAGGTTTTTTTACCTACAGTTGATAAGCAATTTAGCAATACAATTACTATGTTTTCTCCAAGGTTACACGCTTAAAGAAAAGAATGAGCAGTTGGCTTGTCCGTTTAACTTTGGAATAACTGAAGATCCTGGGATTTTTTAGAGCAGCTTGTTGAAACAGCAGTTAGAAACTTCTGGAGAGAAAGAAGATTTTATTGCTATGGAGAAGCAAGATTAAAATATTTCTCCACGTAGAAGAGAGTCAGTTGTATCATATTTAGCCCCATCAGTAATACCAGGAGACCAAGGCTGCACAGAGACTCTACAGAAATATCCTGGGGTGTGTTATTCCTACAATGGGTGACAGTGGATTTTTAATTATCTACAGATCACAAGGGGCTGCAGAGTTAATTCTTATATACTAAAATTTTCCGTTTTGTTCTAAGTCTTGCTATGCTTTAACCTCCCTGAACTTGCAAATTGAATCTGACAAGTCACACAGTTTCTGCAAGTCCTTGAAGTATCAAGCATACCTCTTTTTTATCTGGTCAAAAGATAGTTGTAAAGAAATACTTGTATGTTTTGTTTTTTTCATTGGTCACAAGGTCATGATATGAGCTCAGTAACAACTTAAGCTTACCTGAAAGTTAGCACACTTATGATATTTTTTCAGAAAAGTGTAATAGCATTTCTGGGTTGAAAAAGGCATGTGGCTTAAACTGGTCATTAACTTCCACTATAGGCTGGTTGTTTTTAATTCAGTCCACGAGTAAAGATTGGCTCACCTACTTCAAGACTAGGTAATGACTCTGTAAGAAAGACATGCCTGTCATTTAAATTAATCCATTCCTCATTGTTCTCTTTGCTTTTTTTTCTTTAAAATGCAGAGTATTTATTGTAACTTGTTAACACGCTGTCTGCAATTTTATCATAATGCTGCTTGCATATAGTTTAGTCAAAACACATTTGTAAGAAAAACAGCATGTGAAATCTTAACTTACTGGTATGCCCTTTCTTGCTGCAATTAGTTATTACAAGGGATAATCCCAATAGCAATTCCATGGTATCCTAAAATGGGCTTAAAGTAAGACATAGATTTCTGTATTTTGCTGAAGTAGTTGGCCTACCAAGATATTTCACAGTTAGCTTTCCATGCCTTTTGAATTTTCTCCACATGCCTTATTTGGTTTATCATTTTTCACTAGAAGGCCTATAAAATTGGGTGAAAGTCTACTGAATGCCTTTAAACGTTGTTGCAGTATTGTTGTAGTATGTGGTATGCAGATGACTTGAACAGATCTGTTCTGACTCATGGTTATTTTGTGGGATCCATGCCCAAATATCACAGATACCAACTGCTCCTCTTTTAAAAAGCTTGTGTTCTAACACATATCTCAGAGCGCCTGCTGTGCTAATGGTTGCTGAGCAGTGATGTTTACATCAGGTACATAAATGCTACTTGCTAGTGTAGAGCAGTTCATGGGACTTTTGGATGAACCCCAGACAGAACCATCTCTGTCATTAGCTTGGGTTATTTTACTCAGTTTTCTTTCAAAAAGGGAAATTATCAAATATCTATGCTTTTAAAAATGCAGCCATTAGCAAGTATTCTTTTTGCTTTAAAGTGTTCTGGATTGCTATATCCACAGTCTAGCTCCACAGGGCAGGAAGTATTATGTGGTCCACGCACAGACTGTGCATTTTCGAGTTCAAGAAGAATACCCACATTATTGCTGCTGCCATTGTTGAAAATCTGTTGTGATCTAGACTCTACTCATGAACTCCAATACTCCTTTACAGCAAACACCATCATTAGTAATGGAAGAAAGCATTTATGTGATGTGGGGGAAAAGTTAATGAGATTAGATGACCAAAATCATATTTTTCCAGTTCAGTCATAATCTGGGTCTGAATTTCCTCAAGAGCCTGCTCAAGGGCACTTTTGCCATTCCTTTAAAGATTATGCTTCAGAAGCCATCTCAGTTATCTGGCCTAATTTGTAGCACAGGAGTTTCCAGTAGTTCAGATAACCCACTTGTGTCTCTGTACCCATTGCAGCTGAAATCTATGCAGTTTGGTGATAGAGAACAACCTATCTGTTCAGGTTTGGTACCAGAACTACTACAAATAATTAGTTCTAGCAACTCTCTTTACTTCTGTATACTTACCTTTAGGGATTCCCTTCCTTCTGGAGATAGTTCTGTGAAAGTATCTGAATAACAGTAATATCTAAGGTGGGGGGGAGTAATGGTTTGCTTCCTGTAGTTATGTATAAACTTAGCATAAACCAAGCAGGGTGAATCATTTCAGGTTAATTACTGAGAAAAGAAAGAAACACCCACACTTCCACTTTCCTTCATTTCCTACCTTGAATCAGTTCACAGGCTTTTCCCCAGGATCTCTTGCTGAACTACCATGACCAGGCTGCTCTGCCAGTTTAGGGGGTGCTTCTGCTCCTCTTGCCAGTCACCCCATTTCTTCAGGTGTTTCACATTAAAGGAAGTGTTAAAGTACTTTCTGCCCAGAACGAGGCCCAGAATGAGGCACTAAGACTATAAGGATTATTGAAAATTATTCCTGCTTGTCTTTCAGATACTTGGTGACAACTTTTGTAAACAGATTTTCACCATTCTGTATCTCATTTTTCTAGCTGAGACTCATTCAGAAAAAATGACATTTTCTTCAAAATCCATTCTCATTTTACTACTAATATTCTGCAGTTATAAATTATGAAATAATAACAGGGGCTTAAACTCCCTTTTCTCTATTTACTGTTAATTAAGTTCTGGTGTTTTAAAATATTTCCTTGTTTCTGCTAGATTGGCAGATGCCATATCCATCATTGTATTGATTTCCTACTTTCTGACTTCCTAATAAGGACAGCACACCTTGTACTTTAATGCCTTTGCCCATTTGTCCTTTTTCTGGTGTTTTAGCAAGCAATTTCTCTGATGCTCTGATGTCTCTCAGATCTACCATCCTCTGCAATATTCCTTGGAGCCAAGGCATCTCAAGTTCATTTGAATTCTCCAAAGAGTTGGAGCTTTCCTCTCCCTCCCCAAACCATCTCCTTTGCATAAACTGTTTTACATGTCATCCTAGTTTCAACTTTCTAATTGTACATGGGTTTTTGTAGTATTTAATTTTAAAACTGGTGTTGTGCTGGGGTTTTTGAAGGTCTGTATCTCTACAGAGCACACCTGGATGAAAAGGATGCCCATCTTGGAAGCCTTCTGAGGTTCCTCTTACTTCTCCATATTACCTTCAGATCACCAGCTGCACTGAAGTAGATTTATATTTCTAGTTGTGCTAGAAACTTCAAAACCAGTTCCTTGCTGCAAAAAAAAATACTTTCATCTGGTTGCTTAGTTTGTATTTTGCTGCAGAGCTAGTGGAAGGTTCTGCAGCTTGATGTGCATGGGTGATAAACTTGATACAGTTTTTCCACAGATCTTCTATATAGTTATTGAGCTCAGGTGACTTAAGAAAATCAACCCTCCCTTAAATAGTGGAGTGGAACAACAAGGAATATCTTATTGTAATGTTTGTCTTGCTGGTGTCATGAAATCAGCTAAGTACTATTAGGGAATAACCGTTGCTGATAAAGACAACAGATTGTTTGAAGATTGGCAAAGCAACAGTTAAATATGTGCCTACACATATTTAAGATGTCATGATTGTCAGTAGTATAATGTATTTGGGTTGGTTGTTTTCCTGCCAAACTAATCTGCAGTACTAGACAATATTACTGAAGTTGTCATCCACACCATTAGAAAAGAATTGTCTCAGTGCTGCAAATGACTTACTCTTTCATTTTAATACATGATCATATTTTTTTTACGTCAACAAAATCTCGTTTGAAAACAACAGCAAAATTGTTCTCCAAATATGTACTCAGGTTTTTTAGCCATAGACAGAGGTAGACAGTTAACTAAAACTAGATGAAGTTTTGAATGATGACAGTTATCTAAGGTGAATTCTTCCCTTTTTTCATGTGGGAAGAGAACACTGTTTTTCATTTCATATTGGTTAACTGAGTTTATTCTAAAGTTGTATTCATTGTGTCACTATAAAAATAGGGGTTTTTTTCCCTGTTTCTTATGTGGTATTTGCTTCTTGTCTATTGTTGCACCTGCCTCTTTCTCCCCTTTTTTGTTGTATTTGCCTGTTTATTTGTAATGAATTCTGTAGATTACTAGATAGGAAATAATTATACTGTAGCATTTTCTGAAAAAGCATTTTCTGAAAGCAACTCATAAGTAGAA